AAGTTTCTTTTTCAGCTGATTTGCCTTTTAACACATAGACTAGAGGAAGAAAGAGAAAGGGTGCCCAGACTTAAAACAACCACACGTGTCCTTCATCTCCATTAGTCCAAGGAATTCTCATCTAGCTTGTATAGAAAATATTTTTATTTGCTATTCTCACAAATTATTGTTTTAGGCGGTTTTTTACTTTGATACTCAACTATTACTATGGTTTACTTCTGTCTTCTACAGTTGCTTTCGGTGCTTTATTTTTCTTTGTTACTCTAATAAAAATTCCATTCTTGGGTTATCCTCTGAGAAATGTGAAACTGCAGCTATCTCATTCATTATACAATATTATCATTTATAGGAATTTTCCATTCTACAGGTCTGTATACCATTCTGATAATAATGTGCTTTTTAAAGTTGTAAAATTAATGTAACTTTACTGACATTTAAGGTCAGCGATCTTAAAAAGAAAAAAGAAGCCAGAAAGTTAGCATATGATGGACAAAATTTTTTTTGTTTCAGCGAAGTGATGTCCAGTTGGTCTCTTATCTCTTCTCTCCCTTAGCAGCCTTCTCTCTCACCCTCCTGTGAAGGCAAACACACACACACACACACACACACACACACACACACACACACCCCCTGAGTGTGTATTCATAAAGGCTGTTGTCTAATTCATTCTGCTTTGAGAAAATAGTTGGACCTGGTCTAGCAAGTTTTTCATACTGTTGCATTATAGCAAAAGCCCAGACGGCTTCTCCTGATACTCATGTTTGCAGTTTAAAAAAAGAAACAGAAAAAAACAAAACTTCCTACCTGGGGACAGATTCCACTCTGTGGCCCCACTCCCCAAATTCAGAGAAAGGGTCAGTCAGATTTGGTTAAGTCAGCAACTATGGGCACATGCCTACCCCTCCATTAACGACACTCCTTTCCAAATTACTGTGACCCACAATTCCTACCTTCCCCCACCTCCAATTTGCCAATCAAAAGATTGCAGCATGTTACTTGGAGGGTGGGTGTGGAGGGGGGGATGGGGGAGCAGGGAGAAGGATGTGAATAAGAGTAATGAATTGTCAGTTTCATATCACCACCCCAGAGAGGTCTTCTCTGACCACAAATCTCAAGTTGCCCTTTCAACCCCACACACATACCATGTTATTTATATTATCCTGTTTTGTTTTCTCATAGGATTTTATCACTGTGAATAAACTGTCCTGTCCGCGGAATTGTTTACTTATATATTCTGTCATACTGACCTCCTATCTCTGCTCCCTTGAAATGAAGAATGCAATCTCCATGTGCATAAGGACCCTATTTCTTAATTGCTGTATCTTCAGCTCTCAGAACTATGGCTGGCACAGAGTAAGGTGCTCAATAAATATTTGCGGACAGAATCTTCACATTTGTAGTCTTCTGACTGAATAAAACAACCACTTCTAATAAAGAAAAATGGCTCTATTACTGCTCACACAATAGGACTTCTCATCTACAAAGGATCCTAGAATTCCATGCTAAGACAGAAATCAGAACAGACCCAAATAAAGCAATTGCAAAATTAGAAGGATGATTATAAATTGGAGTAATTTTAAATCTAGACTAAAAGACAACTGATAGAAACCTGGCCAGATCTAGCAAACCTTAAAATACCTAGCCCAGAATCAAAGACCAGCTGTGTCAATGTAGTCCTTCTAACCCAGGAAAGTCATTCCAGAACCCTAGACCTAAGAAAAATCCAGTGAGAACATTAAGACTTTCCATACACGACCAGGAAATCACAGGTGGGGAAAAGAACTGTTGTTCTGATAACCAGATAATCCTCTATGAAGTATTCTGATATCCACTTTACGAATAAGGAAAGTATCAAAAGAGTCAATTAGTTTGCTAAAAACTCAGAGCCAACAGGAAGTGACAGAACCAGGATTTGAGTCCCCCCCAGTCAGTGACTTCAAAGCTTTCACTCTTCCTGCTCCATGAGGCTTTCATTGGGTGCAAGTCCAGTGACGGTCCTGGAAACTTCAACTATTCTGAAGAACCACTCCTTCAGAACTGGAACTATTCACATTAGGTACAATGATCTCTTCTCTTAATATATCATCATGATACGAGTATGAGGTTGATTTATCAGGTGTAAGGAAACACATTTATCCTCTCATCCACATAGGCTAAAAAAGAATATTTTGATATTAAGAGCCAGTTCTCCTGACAAGTTCAAAGATGCATTGAACATGAGTACAGCATTTTCAACAAGTTCAAAGATGCATTGAACATGAGTACAGCATTTTCAACTGAGTCACATATATCTTTATATTTCATCACTCCCCAATTCACATTGTAATATTTCAATTTGTACTTCAAGAAAAAAAGAATTTGCCAGGTAATTTGTAGTATAAATATTAGAGTAAATACACACAAAGTCAATAAAAGATTAGAAAAACTTAAATACATCCTCATAAAATTCAAGTTTTTTCTTGAAAGGTATTCCTTTGTCCCTTATTGTTAGCCTTTAAGTAGGAAATTTCAGTAGCTAAACATAAAAATCAACGAATTTTACTTCAAAGTTCAGGTAAACTCCACTTCATGATAACAATAACAGTCCTATAAAAATAAGTTACAAATGGTTTAAATCTAGACTCCCCAGGTTAATAAATCTTCAAAACACTAAAAGGCGATAAATATGGGAAATCTCTAATCACGGCCAATATCCTTCAGTGTCTGCTGGCTGCTACTTCTTTCAGGTGTGGGGAAACCTCTGCTACCTACAAGAGAGCAGAATGCCCAGGTCCATTAGCACTGCCCCCTCGGCAACTACCTGTCTAGACCCTGAGGCTAAGATACACTATCAGGAGCCCCAGGCCAGTCCTGTGAGAACAATCTGTATGTGCAGGGCAAATGTCTTTGAAAGGACGCAGTCCAAGTTGATTTATCTGCTACGTATTAACTTACTTTGACATAGATCCTAGAGTTGGAGCTCGTGTCAAGATTATGTTCCTCGCAGATGCAGAAGCAGAAGCCACAGCGGTGTTCATGAAAAGTACCACTGGAATGGCACCAATGAGGCCCCCATGAAAACTTGTTTCTCTTCCTTCTCTATTTTATTTGACAACTTGGATCTTTTCCAGGTGTTAAGTTATAATAGAAACTTCAAATTAAATTCTCGCTGCCTGATACTTGTGATGCAGGAGTGAATATGTGGTAGGTTCTTCCTTCTCTATCCCACCCCAGGTTCATACCCTAAGTCTAATTCATCTGCATGAAGTGGGAGGTTCTTCAAACTTATGCCAATACAGAAATTTATTAATGCTTTTCAGCATCATAGGACCCACTGGAAGAAAATATAGTCATATTTCTTTCTCTAATGCACTCCTTTCCTTAGGTCAGAATGCATTACTCTTATACCTATTTTGTTAACCTTATTGATATGCCTTTGTTGCATTCTACTTTAGCTCCTTTGGGAGGAAGACGCAGAGTACCATACTTAAATAAATACAAAATC